GCAAGGTTTCAGTTTTGGTTTAAGGTTATCGAGATTAATGATAAAAAATTTTGCTGATATTAATTTCGTCACAGATGTAATTATTTTATGCATAGAAGCTTCTTTATTCGTGACGATTCAGTTAAAGTTGAAATTTTCGATTAACCAATGAAAATTTTACAATATCATGGGATGATCTACAAAAATTATCCAATCACAACGTTAGTAAAAATTTTGCGTGATCAATTCCGGCCTATCCAACCCTAAATTTTGGTTGATCTGTTGAATTTTGGTTGCACCACTAATCTATCCTTACAATTGACGCGTTACGTCATTTTTGCACGTTCTTACTATAACACAAATATATATCGATGTTCAAAAACAACTTTTTTTTATGACTTAACTACTGGGCTAATAAACAAATCATATCTGAATATTTTTCAGAATAACTAGATAATATTAGCTTTAAAAATTAAATAAAATATTTATATAAATAGTTATATAATAATTTTAATAAAGTTACTGACAGAATTACTAAAATTAAAAATAAATAAATAATAATAAAATTATTTTGTATAAAATTGACAATATTTTTATTAATTTTTGATATGTTAAATTTCTTGTTTAAACTAGTTAAAAAAAATTGTTAAAAAGTACTAAGCAGAAAATAAAGATATATTTTTACTAGTAGGGTTTGAAGTTGATTAATTTTTGTAAATTAGTTATCGTTATATCAATAATAAAAGAAAAAAATAACTATTGTAGGTTTAGGCCGCGGATAATTAGATTATAATATTCTGATATTATACCTGAGTTTCTAATTATTTCAAAATGAAATCCATATATAATTCTTGTAAATTTTTTTCTTGTAAAAGAGTTTAACATTAAAAAAAAACATAACTATATCTAAAATATCCAAATTGCAAATTTAAAAAGTTACTTTAAATAATCATTATCTATGTTTTAAAAAAATATATAGTTTAAAAAGATTAGTTTATTTAACTAGTTTAATTTTAATAATTTGAGATTAAATAAGAATTAGTTATTTAAATTTTATTAAATTTATTTTTTAAACTAAATTGTTTATATATAGTTATTCTTTAAAATAATTTTTATAAATAATACTATATTTATTTGATTATAATTATACGTATCTTTTTTATTTTAAATAAAATGCTGTAAGTAAAAAAAACATGTAATAAGAAGCTAATTTTACTAGATACAACAAATTTGGCCTTAAAAAATCGATATGTAATTTACATATTACTAAGACTACAAAAACACCAATTGTCAACACGATTTTTTGAAAAACAAACTTTTACAGCTTTCATTCTGTAGCTTTTATATTAATATATACGTATCACTTACTAGCAAATTACTCAAAACCGAATCTTATAAATTTTATTAATTACGGTATTAAATTTTAACTAAATGTTTTAAACTTTTATAGTAAAAATGCTTTCAAACTAATAAATTCACTAATAAGAAAAATAGTTTAACTTAAATGTTAATGACTTATTCAGTTCTATTTATTAATTGACTTTTATAAGAGTTAAATATATATATATACAAGCCGGATCAAAAGTCCCAGATATTAAATTATTATTTTTTTAAATATCAATAAATATAAAAAGCCACATGTTTATTTTATTAATAACAGCCAGTATCACATTATAATTATAGTTTAGCCTTCTTGGTTGTTTACCAGAAACTATGACTTTTTGTCAGGTTACACCAGTATTCGCTTTTCGTAATTTTTGATTTATTCATATTTTTTTTTTTCGCCGAGAGCTTTACTTTCGCTAGGGTTCGCCTTTCGTTTTTTAGGCTTCGTCTTTCGCCAGAAGAATATGGGTTTCGCTGAGTTTTTTCCTTCGTCTTTCGCCAGTTTTAAGTTACGTTTTTCATCATTATGCGGAAAGGTATTGCTCAATAACTATAGTTCTAATTCACGATCCAGCTGGTCGGCCTCTTTTCCTTTTTTTAGTTTGGCTTGTATTTCCTCTGCAAGTATCACAAAACCACCTGCCCTCTGGTACAGCTTTGAGCCCGACGCAGTCGAGATGATACCATTCAATAGGGCAATTCTGTAAAAATACGGTATCAGGTTAGTTCAATTATAAAACTCTGATTACAGTCAGACCTCCCAAAATGCACCCTCCCTAAATGCATGATACATGAAAACCTCTCTAAATGCACGC